TAAGATAGTCCCCAGGCCCTTCCTGTCTACTCTTACACGCCTACCCTTCTTTCTTACTTGTTATGATTGATACTAAGATATGTCTGCCATTTCTTCTGGGTTTGGCAGTGAGTTTTTTACCTGTTTATTTTTCCAAGTCACCCAAGTATGTTATGTCCTATTTTGAAAAAGATTTGCATTGAAGTACTTGTCATAAATGCTTAATTCTTTAATTATACTGTCAATAGCTGCAATTTTATGGTAACTAGTCAAGATGTGTGTCCTGTGTGTAGCCTTTGATGTGTTCAAGATACCAGCTAAATTGGTATTAAGTAAACGAATAAATTGGGATACCTGAGCTTATTACCTCACATTAATGTTTTCTATATTCACCCACTTTATCCTACAAATTCTATCTGGATGTTATTTCTTTATCATTAAAGTTTTTTCCTATAATTTTCTAATTATTTTGATCAACATGTGACAAAATCATTTATGTCTCCATATTTATTTTGTGTTAAAGTTGTTTCTCAAAGTGTTCACAAGGTATGTTTTCAATAAGCAATCATTTCATCTGTTAAGACTAGGAATTTAGTTTCTTATTTTCTTAGTTATCTGTTTATGTGTTTTGTTCTAGAGTTTACCAAATGATGTTTTTTTTAATGTTTAAATATATTGATGTTTTTCTCCCTTTTCCCCTCTTTATTATTTAAAAAAAAATTAGATTTTTTATATGGCTGTTTTGCCTGCAGGTATGTTTGTGTATCACATGTGTCTAGTGCCCAGAGTTCAGAAGAGGGTATCAATCAGATCTTCTGCAATTGTAATTATGAATGGTTATGAGTAACTCTGTTGGTTCTAGAATCTAGACCTAGCTCCTCTGCAAGAGCAATAAGTGCTCTTAACCTCTGGGCCATTTTTCCAGCACTGTGTGTGTGTTTGTGTGTGTGTGTGTGTACACATACGAATGTACGTACCGGGATCAAACCTAGGTCTTTAGGCTTGCACATTAAGCCACTTTACCCATTGAATCATTTTCCCTAGCACCCAAGTATTGTTTTACAAGTTGGCTTATAGTGGACATCACTCACTCTTTGTTGTGCAACTTAGATTTGCAGTTGCTTATCTACTTCAGGGGGCTTTCATGATACTGTTGTCTTGTGCTGGTTTTACCCAAGTGGGTGTCTGTGCAGCATAGCTAATGTCAAGTAAATCTTTTTTTCTCCACTTTAAAATGAAACCAACCGGGCTGGAGAGATGGCTCAGAGGTTAAGAGCACTGGCTGCTCTTCAGAGGTCCTGAGTTCAATTCCCTGCAACCACGTGGTGGTTTACAACCATCCATAACGAGATCTGGTGTCCTCTTCTGGTGTGCAGGAATACATACAGGCAAAAGGCTGTATAGATAATAAATAAATAACTCTTTAAAAAAATGAAACCAACCAAACAAAAATGTTTTTCACCAACATAATGTAAGCTCGTGGTTTACTATTTGTGGTTATCATTCCTTAACTAGTTCTTAATGTTTGCTTGCTCATTCATTCTTTCATTCATTCATTCATTCATTCATTCATTCATTCATTGATCTATTTGTAGGGTCTCTCTACATAGCTCTGTCTGTCCTGGAACTCACTATGTAGACCAGGGTAGCCTCGAATTCACTAGTATCCACTTGCCACTGCTTTCCAAGTGCTGGGATTAAAGGTGTGTGCTATCACGATGGTCTTTTAAATTTTTTTGTAACATATAACTTGGAAAGTATAATCTTATGAATGATTTTAGTTGTATTGTCTCTGTTTTTTCTATCCTTTAAAGGAATTTGCTGTTGAGTCATAGCATCATTATAGAAGATTATTTAATAATGCGTATGAATTACCAAGACACTATGAAAGCTTTATGTGAATGATGTCATTTAATTCTCAAGAAAAAAAAATAGACAACACTATTCTTTTAACTCATTTCATAGATGAGGGGAATGAGTTAGAACAGTCAAGTATTTTGTTGTACTGCTAAGTGGCAGAAGTAAGTTACTTACAAATCAGAACAGGCCAAGTGGTGGTGGCACACGCCTTTAATTTCAGTACTCGGGAGACAGAGGCAGGTGGATCTCTTTGAGTTCAAGGCCAGCCTGGTCTACAAAGCTACAAAGAGAAACCCTGTCCCGAAAAAATAAAACAACAACAACAAAATACAACAAAGTCCTAGGGATGTATGTATATAGAATAGATACTATTCAACTTGGGACAGACTTAACATCTCAATAACAAGCTTTGTAAGTTGATGATACCCTAAATTGAAAATGTGTTTAATATACTTACTTTATATATGATTTTATTTAAATTACTTTATAATTGGCTAAGTCATTTAACAAAAAAACTGTGATAAGTCATCATACATACTGATTTATACCTACATACATTTATACATGTGATCTTTAGGAAGAAATACTCAGAAGTAACCCATTTTAAAAGTAATAATACAGTAGTATTGAGAAGTTAGCCTTTTTTTGGGCCCTCTTTGATTAATAATGATACAAATATAATTTCCTTAGAGGGGAAGTATTATCAAATTACTTTAAGGCTAGATAATGCTTCTTCCTAAGACATAGTATAGTTGACAGATGTTGTACTTGGAAATTTACCAAGCTTTTCCGCTGCATTTTGCAGACATGTCAGTCAGGATGGTATAATTCATGGGTGCTGCAAATGTTATAATCCATAATTATACTTTCTTGTAATCGTTCCCATAGGTGCTCTAATATGTTAAACTTTTGGCATATACAATGTAAAAGTTAGCTCTAAAGAATCTGGTCTTATGAAACTTGGTGTGTCCATTTAAAAGAAAAAAAAGCTCAAACCACAAATATTATAGAGTAGGCATTATCTAAGCAGTTAGCCTCTGTCAGGGATAGTGAAGATACTAGATCATTTTGGGGAATGGACAGCATGCCCATTTGAAGAGGTAATGCATTTTAAAATCATTCAAGGGGCTTTCTTCATGGTGAGATTACTTAATCTAGTGAGACAAGTTTATAGAGGCAGAACAATAGTCAAAAGCTACTGTAGAGACAATATAAGGAAGGATTTTTATTGAGATATACCTGTAATTTTGCATAAGCTTAATCCTTCTTTTAAAAAAAAAGGAAAAAAAAAAGAATAAAAAGTTTTAGAGCAGGCATGGTGGTGCTTGCTTTTCATCCCAGCACATGGAGGCAGAGGCAAGGGGATCTCTGGGAATTGGGAGGCCAGCCTGGTCTCCATAAGGAGTTTCAAGCTGGCCAGTGCTACACATAATGAGGCCCTGTCTCTACACAATGACAATGCAGAAAGGTATGAAGAAGAGTTCAGTTGCTGTTGTTACTTTCCTTTCTGAATGGAAATGTTCTGGGGAAAGTGGCTCATGTGTAAGCATCCTTATTCTTCAGTGAAGCACAAGGACTGGAGTTGGAGTCTCCAGCACCCCTTAAAAGTGACTGCTAGCATTTCCATTGGGTGTGAACAGACAAGTCCCTGCAGCTCACTGGCCACCTCGACAGTGAGAAACCATGTGTCAAGCCAGTAAAGCAGAGAGAGTGTAGGAAGAGGAAATTAACTGATGCGTCCAGTCTCACATGTGTGCAATCCACATATACAAACAAGGCAGGCAGGAGGCAATTGTGGTCTTAATCCAGGAAAGGAGACTATCTGAATTTTTAATTTTTTTTTTAACTTTTGTATTCTCCCCAAAATTAGAAATGTTAGAAGTTAGATTTCTTCTTTGTATCTCATAGAGTGAGTGCCTCCTTTGTAGCTTACCCACTTTGGATATGTTATTTTACATTGAATTTAGCCTGTATTGAGGCTTCTTCTGTTGATTCTCAGCTGTTTCTTATGTTAGTTACTAATTCATAAAATAAAATTAAGATAAGTACTTTCATCTTTTACCCAAAATTCTCAATGTTTTATTCTAGTGGAGTTCAGTGCAGTTGATGTGGAGTATCAAATCTGCCCAGCCTTGTCGTTTGTTCACTTTATTAGATAATTAATTGGTTGTGACAAGAAAGGAATCCCACTCACTCCTTCCTTCCCACCATCCCACAGTCTCCCTCAGAATGACCCAAACTTTTAGGCTCCATGGTTTGAGCCACAAACTAATCTTACTTTAAATTTGGTAGACCACATTATAATTTCTGATTTTATAAAAGATACATTTCTCCTATAGTAGTAAGATTTAACTGTAAATATTTACTTTTGATAATGGTCTATTAAATATGCATGGAAACTCTTTAACAAGTCCTTAAACTAAAACCTTTTATTCTCTTGTTTTAAATACTTTTCTTACGTACAAAACAAAGTTAAATTTTCCTTGTTAAAATGCCATGCCAAGTGTCTGCTAGCCTTTTGAAGAGCATTTGTCCTTTATATAATCTGTAAAGTATCCACGAGCTCTTCAGAAGCGGGACATCATTTAGATTTAAAACAGTCCTGGCTTGTGTGTAAAATAATGATGTGAGTAACCATTTACAGAGTAGCAGCCTTGGTTTTACTTTAATGGCAAAAATGCCCCACATTTCATTCACCTTAAAGGCCTTATCAGGGTTCCCTAGAAGAGAAATTGTTAGTTCATCTCAATTCTACTAAATAGATTATGATGATAATGTCTAGAAACTCAAGCAACACAACTATGAGCATAGACCTTTTATTTTTCCCAGACATTGACAGTGTAAACATACATAAAATACATATTAAAGTTTAGATGCTTTTGTATTTTGTGCAATAAGTTGAAGCCTTAAAAAGGAAACATTTCATTTAAAAAAAAAAAAATCATTAGTTTTACTTAAGACAGTAAAATAGCAGCAAGTACCAAGACATTGTGCACTTCTTTTGATTAAGACAAATTACTTCATTTACATCAAAGTCAGAAATACAAGACTGGCTTTCTTGAATACTTAATATAGCTTGAATCACTGGTTAGATAGGGGCATATTTTCCCAACTATACATCAGGGAGGAAGGCTTTCCTTAGTTTCAGAAACTGCAGACCCTCAACTAGCCAGCATGACCATAGCATTGAGCATAAAGAGAAGTGAAGCATTTACTTTCCAAGCACTAGCCGCAGAAGGTAGTTGAGTCTTTACATTTGCAGTTGTTTCTTCCCTCCGTAAGTTGAGGGTTGTGCTTTGTTGAGGCATTTCAGAGAAGTTACTTGGCATGCCACTAGTGATACTTAGGGTCATGGGTGTTGGGGGTGATTTTGTTGCACTAGTGAGGCTTGTGTTTGAAATCATTCCATCATGGAGGTGAATAGTTAGAGTTGCAGCTGCTGCTTCATGTGAATTGGTCATTTCTGTGGATGTGTCTTTTGGATAGGGCACCAAAGCCTTATCAGTGCTAGTAAAAGTGGTATCGCTGCTTAGTGTGACACCAAATGTTTCCTTTCCTCGATATTGTTTGGGCATTTTGGTCACTTTGGGTTGAGTTACCATACTCAGAGAGTTAATGGTGTCTACTGTCTGCATCCCACTGATAGTAAATACGCTTGAGGTAAATCCAGGAGGTGTGGGGTACATCTGTTCCTTCAGAGAAGATACTTGGTCAGAACAAGGAGTCCCTATCACATGGGCTTTTGTTTCCATCATCCACTTCAATAAGTAAGTAATGTTTTGTCTATGGTCACATGACCACCTGTTATTATGAAGCGTTATCTCTTGCAGCTGCAAGAGTTGGTCAAAAGATTGATCTGGAATGAATGTGAATTTATTGTTGTGCAGGTAAAGATGTGTGAGATTTGTCAGGTTTATTAGTGTCCCTGGAAGGATTTGTGTCAGTGAGTTATTAGACAGGTCCACAATATGTAGTTTGGAAGGCATGTTGGTTGGAACTGTCCAAAGTTTGTTACTGCTGAGGTTGAGAACCTCAAGACTTCTTAGGGTATTTTTAATGAGAACAACTTTTTCCAGCATATTCTTAGAAACATCCAGGTATTTAAGGTTCCACTGATAAGCAGTATCAGATTTGTCAAGAAGTTTAATGTTGTTGTTAGCAGCAGACATGTTCCAGAGAGACCGAGGTAACTGAGCAGGCAGACTTTCAAGCCTGTTGTTTGAAATATCCAGGGTCCTCAGATTGGTATATTGGGTTAACTGGTTATGCAGATCAGTAAAATGGTTATAAGACAAATTTAAATGTATAATGTTCTCTTGCAGTCCCGATGGTAATGTAGTCAAGTTTCTGCCTGAACAGTCCACATGCCTGTGCCTCTCTGTGCATATACATTGGAGAGGACAAATGCTTAAAATGCCAGGCGTGAGAAACAGAAGGATGAACAGGCAGTAAGACATTTTCAGTATCAAATATTCCATCAAAGCCTGAAAACAAACAGATACATCCTTCTTTTAATATGCAAATACACTTTCAGCATCTGCATGGGTCAGTTAGCATTCGGCAAAATTTTCAATAACCCTCCTTGTTGTTGAGTCCTTTTATAATTGTTCCAGTGATTAAACTAACAAAGCTGCCCTTCATTTATAGTCCAAATGCCTAATCCTTCAATTGGGGCTATGTGGTAGTTGGGGGTGGGGGAAATTGAGGGAGAGAGACGGAGAGAAAAAAAGAGAGGGAGAGAGAGAGAGAGAGAGAGAGAGAGATGCTCTCCTTCATTTTCTTCCTTATGTTTTACCCCTTAAAATATTTGTTCTAATTTATCTTCTCAAAGCCTTAATAGGACCGAATGGCATTGTCTACAAATGAGGAGCTTTATAGTCTTACTTAGGCTGTTACTATTTTTGATAATATGTTTTCTTATTCAGAAAAAAATGGCTGTCGTGTCTGTTTTTCTTAAATCTCTGCAGTATTGTAAGACACAATATGTGTGTAGTTTGAGATGTTAAAAGTTATATTAAAACAGTTTTTTGAAATTTCATCTTTTCATAGATAGCTACCTCCTGGTAAAATATTTTAATGAACTCGGAAAAATCAAGACTGATAGCATACCTTTAAACCTCACATTTTGTAATGTGATTATTTTTCCTGTATATTTCTGTACTAATTCTAAAGGCAAAGCAATATATATGTATTTACAAAGTGAGTGGACATTAAAAAGAAAACCTCAAGCATTACTGCAGCAAATTTGGTGCATGCACTTGTTATTGAATATATTCAATCCTAACATTGGCTTAAAGAAATAAAAAAAAAAAATGATGACAAGGGAAAAAATCCAAAGCCAGCCTTTTACCAGTTTAAATAGCTGCTTACCATAATGTCGTCTTCAACATCAGTATCTCATTTTCACCGGGAAACTTGCGGCTTAAAGGTCGTCTTGTTCTGGGGAGTCGGAAGGGTTTCTGTCTGTGGGCTGTGCTTGCCTGCTCAGCTGCATTGTGTTGCTGTGAGCTGAAGCTCTGCAACCACCTGATCAGTACCACATAGGAGGACTGCAGAGCTGTCATTGGTGCTGACTCAAATTTATGGCAGGAGGTGCATACGCAACAAAACAAAATGGACATTTTTTTTTTTTTTTTAAATTTACTGATCTGAGAATACCTTACGTAGCTCCAGTTTACTGCTAGATGGAATACCCCATGCAAATTAGGGCTGGCCTTTACTTCTTTCTATGTATGTCTTTGAGCTTGGCTTGCATATTTAACATTTCCTTGCTATAATTCTTGTTAAAGCCTCTACATTCCTTTTATGTGTGGAAATGCTGAAAATTGACTTAATCTTCTTTGTGAATTGATTTCTAAGATGCTAACTGTTCTATTTTTAATCTGTACATTTTTATGTTCTTTTCGAAAATGGTTGTCATGTAACCTTTTTATATGTCATGATAAAATCTTGATTTTTATGTTTTCCTCCTGTTTACTATTATATTTAATTAGCATTTCAAATTTATTAATCACTTACATGTCTCATCTTTTAGGAAGTGCAGGAATTGTTTGCTATGCTTATTTTGTTTTTGCCTTCCTGATTCAAAAGATCATTTGACTAAAACTAGGCACAGGCCAGCTACATTGTCCCCACTCTTCCTGCCCTTTTGGTCCTGGTGATCAAATCCAAGATAAGCTACATGTAAAATGAGGGTACTGGACTTTACAAACGAGCAGACAAAAAACAAAACAGGGTCTCACTTTGTAGCCCTGGTTGGCCTGGAACTCAGAGAGACCTGCCTGATTCTGCCTCTCAGTGCTGGATTAAAGATGTGCACTACCATACCTGGCATATACTAGATTATTTTCTCCCCAATACTTGACTTTTAGTTATCAGTTCAAATGGTAAAATAATTGTTCATATTTTATATATTTGAGTTAGATGGAGATTTGCTCTTTTTTTTTCCATGAAACTTACTTTGTATGGTATAGAATATTGCTTTCTTCAGAAATATTGTTGGTACTGTACAAAAGACCATTAATTTGATTCATTTTATGACTACAGTATCAAAGCTGGAGAGGCAGCACACACCTGTAATCCCAGCACTCAGGAGGTGGAGGCAAGAAGACAGGAATTATATTTTCTAATTATTTACTTGGTGTTTCATGTTTATATTTTATCTTTCCCAAAAAGTTAATAGGTTTAAAAATATATGCAACAGCCGGGCATTGGTGGCGCATGCTTTTAATTCCAGTACTCGGGAGGCAGAAGCAGGCGTATCTCTGTGAGTTCAAGGCCAGCCTGGTCTACAGATCGAGTGCCAAGATCTAATTTACAAAATGACCATTTTACTTTAGGAAAGAAAACAAGAAAAATTATGGTATACGTTATTTTCAAATTGTCACCATTTTAAAACAAGCAATTGTTAGCATATTACATGTGGAGAAAATGCATAGGTACTAAGTAGTTTGTGTATCCTCCCTACATTTTATGAACTATCATTTTATTTGTATTTAGAAAGGAAGTGACTGTATTGAAATCTACACCTTTTCTTCTTAGAGCTATCTTTTAGGAGGTACCTTTAGATAAAACTAGTTCCTTGAAATGGATCTGCATCATTAGAAATCGGTATTGATTCAGTGTCTTATTGCCGTTTTAGTCAGAATCTACTCATCAGTCATGATCCTTAAAAATAATGTTTGGAATCCTGCATTCAGCAGTATGTTTTGGAGGTTAGAATGGTTTGCTTTTGACAGCGTTCCATGTCAGCTCATGTACCCACCACTACACTTCAGGGGATAAGACAAGGATCATTTTGCCAAACCCTAAAGTCTGTCTTAGTAAGACTTATTAGGCCATTATAGGAGTGGAACTACCTACTTGAATTGCACTGACCAGTACTTCCATTTGAAAGAAAAACTTTTATCATTAATTAGTGAATGGGTGAAAAATTAATTTAAGCTTAGTTTGTATTGGTGACTTTGCTGACACTGTGACAAAATGTCTGACAGGCAACTTAGGAAGGAAGAGTCTGTTCTGCTCACTTATCAGTTACTCGAGCCCGGAAGACCTGGGGACTGGAGGGGCCCAGTCAGTGCCACAGGGTCAGGTCACATCCAGCGGCAGACAGGAAGCACAACAAGCTCTAACCCTCAAAGCTGACCACTGGTGGCCTGAAGACCAACAGTTAACCCCATGTTCCAAGGGTCTTGTAACCTCTCCTCCCCTCAGCACTGCCAGTAGTAAGTAGTCCACATGCCCAGGCTCAGTAGGATTGGATTCTGCTGTACAGAGGATGATATTTTTTATTTCAGATTTACTTCATATGAAAGATGCCTGTGGCTTCTCAGAAAGAAAAAGGGGCAGTCATTTCAATGTTAATTAAATACAGCAATCTTACACTGTGAAAGATTCTCAGAAACTTGATAATATATTATTCTTGTTTGTTTGTTTTGAGACAGGTTCTCTATTATGTAGCTCTGGCTGTCCTAGAATCTAGTCTTGTAGACTAGGCTGACCTTGAACTCAGATTCACCTGCTTCTGCCTCCTGAGTGCTTGTGCTGGGACTAAAGGGGTGTACCACAATACCTGTCAAAAAGAATCATTTTTTGCTGGGGTGGGGAAGTCTTTTTCTTTATTTCTTTCTTCTTTTTTGTTTGTTGAGACAGGGTTTCTCTGTGTAGCTTTTGGAGCCTATCCTGGAACTCACTCTGTAGACTAGGCTGGCCTCAAACTCACAGAGATCTGCCTGCTTCTGCCTCCCAGGTGCTGCAGTTAAAGGTGTGTGCCACCACTGCTGTACAAGAATAAATTTTTAAAAAACAAGTACTTGTGAAAACTTAGATGCTATACAGAAACCTTAGTTACACTTTAGATAAACTCATCAACATCACAAATTGTATCTATTTAGGCAGCTGGTTTAGATTAAGAATTAAATTAATTGACAGGTCTTTTGTGTCCAAGGATATATTGCTCCAGCATTGTGAAAGATACAGCAAACCACCTGTCAGGTAGCAGCCATCCCATTGTAGTCAACAGTGCCAGTGTTCCTTTATTCTTAAATTGGTAACATTGTTCCCAATAATTGTGTGCCAAGGTTCTGTCATTGATGCAGCTTCTGCATCCATTTAATTTTTTAGATTTATTTATTTTATGTGTATGAATGTTTTACTTGCATCACATGTATATGTCTGCTGCTGACTAAGATCAGAAGCAGGCATTAGATCCCCTGGTATTGGAGCTACACAAAGGTTGTGAGATGCCATATGGGTACTGGGAATTGAACTCTGGAACTGGGCCTCCTGGAAGAGCAGCAAATACAAATGTAATGGTTTAAGGTTGAACTTCTACATTTAAAAAGGATGGTTGGAGCTATAGAGATGTCTCAACAGTGTAGAGAGCTTGTTGCTGTATTAGAGCTCTTAGCACCCATAACTTCCTGTGACTTCAGTTCCAGCATGTCTGACATCCTCTTATAGCCTCCACAAATGCCCTCACACACACAACATTTCTAGCTTAAAAGGTAGTTTTAAAATAAGTATAGCCTGGCTGTGGTGGCGCACACCCTCAATCCCAGCATCCAGAAGGCAGAGACAGGTGAATCTCTGTGAGTTCGAGGCCAGCCTGATCTACAAAACAAGTTCCAGGAAAGCCTGTTATACAGAGAAACCCTGTCTCAAAATAAGTATAAAATATGTAATAAGAAACATACCACCTCTATTTTTTTCCTCTCCTTTCCTCCATAACACTTGGGTTTTGTCTAGTCTAGGTGATTAGTTTATGCTTCCCTGATGTGTTAGAAAAATGTCTCCTTTTTGGGACCAGTGAGGTGGCTCAGTGGATAAAGGTGCTTGATGCGTTTATCTCATTGTTTTTCATCAATAAAAATTTAGGAGTTGCTGAGCGGCGGTAGTGCACACCTTTAATCCCAGCATTCGGGAGGCAGGAGGATCTCTGTGAGTTTGAGAACAGCCTGGTCTACAAGAGCTAGTTCCA